TCACTCACCGCGCGACCGCCACGAGCCCGAGGCGCCTCCGCTCCGCCCCCCGGCACAAGCCCCGCCTCCCCCAGGGGTCGACCCCGCCCCTCAAGGCAACACCCCTGTTCCGCTAAGCCCCGCCTCTCTCAGGGAGGGGTCTCGCTAAGCCCCGCCCACTCCATGTGTCTGTCAACTTACGTTATGGAAAGCTCCGCCCCTCCGGCTCGCCCCATAAGCCCCGCCCCATGACGTCACCTCTCAGCTCCACACGCCCGTCAATGGGTTTCATAAGCCCCGCCCCTATAAGTCCGTCCCTCTCCACTAAGCCACGCCTATTCCAGTCCAGCCCCGCCTCCGCCCCGCCCCCGGTCAGTCCCGCTCTTCCGAAGCGCCCTTTTAAGCCCCGCCCACTTTCCCTGCTCTCTAAGCCCCGCCCCTTGTGACGTGCCCCAAGTCCCGCCCCTCCCGCCGGGCCGGTCCCGCCGGGCCGTGAAGCGCTGCCCGTTCCTATTCCCGTTCCCATTCCTGGTCCCGCTCCTGGTCCCGGTCCCGGCCATGTTCGGGCCGGCGGAGGAGGACGACGCGGATTTCCTGTCCCCGGCCAGCGGGTGAGCGCCGGGGGGGTTGCGGCGGGACCCCTGCCCTGGCCGGTCAGGCCGCGGCCCCGGGGAGGGAGGGAGAGAGGGAGGGAGGGTCCGTGTCCGTGAGGGGCGGGCCGCGGCCTGCGGGACCCGGGGCCGGCACTGCCCTGCCGGGACGGGGCTCAGCCCCCGGTGTGTGCCCTGCCCCGCGGTGCCGGGGGAGCCCGCGGAGGGGTCAGTGCGGCCCCCCGGGTGTGCCCGGGGCAGGGGGGCCCGAGAGCCCCCCGGGGGACCCCGCAGTGCCCGGGGAGCCCCTCCCGGAGCGGGAGGCGCGGCCGCCCGGGGGTCGCTGCCGGTACCGGGAGAGGAATCGGCGTTTTCGCTTCCTTGAGGGGTCGGTGGCAGGTCCCGAAAGTGCCGATTTGGGGCTGGTTTCTGTTTCTGTTGGTGTCGCACCCATGTGTGGCACATCCAGGTTTTATTCTATCCTTTGACTTGTTGCCACTTCCAAGATTCCTCGCAGTTGTAATTCCAGCTCTGCCCACTCCTCACCCCTTTCCACGAGCTTCTTTTCAACAGCTCCTATAAACTAATCCTCTTTCTTTAGCAAATTTGTTTACTTGTTTAAAGCAGGTCCTGTAAGTTGCTGCAGGTGCACTGACAGTGGTGGTGCCCTTTAAATTATTCCCTTATCCCACCATACCAAGAGCAAGTTGAGCTTAGCAAGTCTTAAATCAGTAAAACTGCAAACAACATCTCTTGAAGGAACAACCTACAGCAATAAACTCTCTGCCCTCAGCTGGGAGAGCTTCTGCCATTTTAAAGCTTGATGGGAGAACGTGTGTCCTGGATATTTAAAGAAGACAACTTCAAGAGGTGGCTTCTCTGAACAGTTTGTTCATTATAAGCATGGTTTATGTGAGGCTCGTTCTAGTCATTGCTCCAGACTAACTCCTTTTTTTGTGTAGTTTCGGTCCATTTTACCCTCAGTTTCTTTTGAGGAAATGAAACACAGTTGTGCCACTTCCCCAACTCCTCCATCTACAAGTTCTGCTTATTACAAATTAAGTGGCTAATTAGCACAGAGCAACTTAACCTGCAGTTGATTTATTTCTGAAGTGATGGTAAACACTTTGTGTTTAATAGAACTTATAACTAAGGGTGTTCATTATCCGTAAAGTCAGTGTTAAATCACAGAATGTTCTGAGTTGGGAGGGACCCACAAGGATCAAATCCAGCTCTTAAGTGAATGACCCATGTGGGGATCAAACCCCCAACCTTGGTGTTCTTGGCACCGAGTTCTAACCAACTAAATAAGATTTAAATGATTTTATTTCTCTCTCTAGTGCCAGATTGGCCTCTCTCTTTGGTCTGGATCAAACAGTCTCAGGCCAGGGCAATGAATTCTTCCAGTTCACTGCCCCAAAGCAGCCCAAGAAGGGTCAGGCAGCGGCTGGTGAGTAACTGGGCTGGAGTGTGGGGAACA